TATGGACTGAAACCTCCAGTAACTGTGAGCTAAATAAACCTTTCCTTCCTTCATTTTGAGTGTTGGGTATTTGTCCCAGCAATGAGAGAACAGTAACTAAGAAATCAGGAAACAGACACTTAAGACTGATTTTACACTGTAATTAAAGCTGCAATGAGCATGCAAGAGGGAATGCAGGTGTATCTGCCGATCCAATTTCCTTTCAGGTGGATATGTACCCGGTATTGACACTAATGAACCACCTGGAGGTTCCACTTTTAATTTTTGTGGAAGTGCAATGCTGTTTTCCATAATGGTTGTACTAACTTAATTTTCACTAACACTGTATAAAGGACATTATTTCAACCAGCACTTCTGTCTTTTGGGTAATAGCCATCCTAACAGACTTGAAGTGACATTTCATTGTGGTTTAAATTTGCATTTTTTAATGGTGAGTGACATGGAGCATTTCAGAATATACTTATTGGCCTTTTTTTTAGGTCTTCTTTTGAGAAAGCATCTGCATACAGTGGGAACAGGATGCCAATGTGACCTTGAAATTTTGTGTAACTCAGGCTGAACCTGGCCTCTGAGCCTGGGAGGAAGGTCTGTGCTTCCTGGGTCCAGCACCAAAAGAAGACTCGCTCCAGCTACTTTCCACCCACCGGCTATCTTTAGCACTCCCTTCCTCATTCACCCTGGGAACAGGACAATGTAGAGACTGCTTTGGAGCCAAGGGGCTGCTTTAGGGACTCTTGTTCCAACAAGGAGCCGTTCCATACAGTGGCATCCCCAGTACCACCTGGTCCACGATTACAGCAGAAGGTGCTGTGCAGATGTTACTCACTAACTGGTTGCTGTCGAAGGCCACTCTTAAAGCAGTATTGTGCTTTGTCCTTGTGTGTTCCAAATGTCGCTGATTCTGTCAGATCCAACGTGGTTCTTGAGTGGAAAGTTTTTATTTTCACTTTACAGTTGTACCTTGATTTTGTTTGCAAACAGTTTGATTCACAAACAAAAACAATGTAAAATTTTGTTTTTGTTTGTAAACTCTGCATAGAGTGACAAACATGACCACAGCCAATTTTCCACATAATCACAAATGTGGCCACCTTTGCCAAAATGGGGAACAACTGAGAACAGCTGCTCAGCTGAAGAGTCTGTGTACACTAATATGTTCTTGTCAGCCTGACAGGTTCTCCATTGTCTACTGTTCATTTCAAGCTCTTCAAGGAATGATGCACCAGAATCCGAATGCTGTACAACACACACGCAAATCACCTTCTACTCCTTTTATGTAAGTGCTAATATGTTTTGGCTGATTAGCTTACAATTGAGGACTCACAGAATTTAAGATAACCTTTAAAGATATAAGTATTTATCAATCACTTAGCCAGAAATTGCTGAATGCATTTTGAGTTTCTCTTCCCCCATGATACCAGTACCGTTTAACTGTAGTCAGTACTGGCTAGAGTTTTATTTTCACAGTTTGCATTGGTGGGATATTCACGATTTAAATGCCAGGTCCTGAAAGGGGCTAAATCTACTTTGAAATGAACCTACAATTTGTATTTGAAAGCCTTCCTTGTAGTTTTAATGATTTTCTTTAACTAGATTTTTTTCAGAAATATTACTTAAGGAATTTTAATAAGTTTGTATTAATGCAAAAATAAGGACAGAAGTACAGTGAGTACACTAATAATAGCTTAAAGTTTGGAATAAAAAAAGCATCTTTATAATTACTGTTAGTGAAGATACCATCAACCTATTTGCTAGACTTAAAATTAAATACATTTTGTCTTTTTTGACACTACTCAGAAGAATGTTTAAGCTATGTATGTGACAAGTTAATCCTTGTTTTCTGATGAAAGCACTTTTACATCTTATTCCATGTCCCCAAAACAGATGTTTATCATGAAAGAAATTTAAGGTTGTTAACCTTGTTTTTCAGAAAAGCTACTGTTAACTCACTGTAAATGTGAAATGCTGGGCTGGAGGTATCGCTGAGTGACAGAGCACTTGCCTAGTTGGTCCTCAGCACCACAGAGAGACAAACCTGAAATCCCCCTGCCTCCCACCCCCAGGTTCCAGTCATAATCAAAACTTGTAGAAATAGATTGTTCACTTGAGGTGCAAAAAAAACTGTTTTTGACTTCACTTTGAATTTATTTAACAATTAGAAAGAAATGCAGTAATTGAATACAATTTCATCTACCATAGCAAAGAAAATAACTTACACCTTCATTATCAGGACAGGCCTACAATGAATAAGTACAGTTCACAGAATTTTTTAAATGGAATTAAAATGGAAGTGATAGACATCCTTTGGGAATTAGCATTGGGAAGTAAATCTAAAAATATTCCTAGAAAAAAAAAAAAGAAAATGAAACCCCCCCAAAAATAAATAAATAAAAATATTCCTAGCAATACTTCATATTAATACTCGAAAACTTTTACAAATAAAATCTGTAAAATTACCTATCTTTAAAAAATGACATAAAAAAAGACCACTTGGTTATGTGGCAGCTGTTACTTGCATAGCAAAATTTCTTCAATTAGCAACAGAGGCATTTTACAGACTGAGAAATCTTGGACCAATGGATAATACTCTGATTGCATTAACACATTTTAGTGGTGTTAAATACTATATGACTCTCAATCTGATATTCTACAATCTGTAATAGACATGCTGTTTCTTGTTTTACTTCTGCCTCAAAATTTAGGTTTTTAAAATATATTTTTGCCCTGAATTAAGTGTTAATTTGATGAAAACTCTGCTTTTAAAATAATCACTTACTGGGTTCTAATAAATTAAAAATTAAACTTCAAAATTGTGAACAAACTAAGTTCATGAACCCAAGTACCAGGGGATCTCCTAACTGGCAGCCAGCCAACCACTCTCGAGCGCGGTCTGCTGGGTCCCCTGGCTCCTCAGTGATGTGTTCCATCTCTTCTCTGTCCCTTATCGCTGTTTCCTCCTCCTCTGTCAGGTCCCTCCATGTTCCCAAGCAGCCCCTTCTTACTTTGAATCCTCTCTATGCTACTGTTACGCTACTGTTTTTAGAACTCTGGAGACTTAGTCCCAGAGGAGACACACTGCTGACGCTCACAGCTTGGCCATCTTTTTCCTCTCCCTGTCAAATACTTTTTCTGTGTATAATGATATGGTCATATGCATTTTGTACTTCACTCTTCAATGTGGTCTATCACATTTACTGGAATGTTGAATGATGCTTACAACCCCAGATCCCAGGATAAATTGCACTTGATCATGGTAAAGGATTTTTTTAAAAATATATTTGGTACAAAAAGATAGATAGATAGATAGATAGATAGATAGATAGATAGATAGATAGATAATTTGGTACAGGTTCTCACTACACAGCTTGGACCCAGTAGTGATCCTCCCGTTTTCAACCTCCCCAGCGCTGGGACTACAGGCATGCACCATCACACTGGAACTCAGTGGCTGGCTCAGCATACCTGCGGGCAGGGCTAGTGAGGCATATGGTGATGGGGATAGAACCCTGGTCCCTGCACTTGCCTAAGCAGGCGCTTGGTCCGCTGAGCTATCTTATTGGTCTGGATCCTTCTAATATTTTGTTCAATTCAGTTTGCTAGTATACTGTTTATATCAATGTACTACATGTATACTGGTCTTTAATT